ACGGTTTTATTTTTTATAGGTTTTGAGTTACCCAACCCACGAAACGCCTTGTTTCTATTTTGATCATAGGTGTAACCAACCACTTAATAGAAATAAAACGAAAAGAAATAATAGAAAAAAAACACTAATATAAAATATTTGTTAGTATGTTAACTTACTGTGTACAACTACTGACAAACACCAGAATAAATTATATCTATTCGGCCAAAAACATGCTTTCGATTCTGATTATAATTACATGATAACCAAATAAATAAAGATATTGAAATTTCAACTTATTTTATTGAAAAACATATTAAATATATAATCGTTAAATTATATCTGTTTATGTATAGGTTATATATTTTTCTGAGATAAAAAAAATATAGTGTCATGTGTATCTAATAAATAATCCCGTTCAAAGCCGTATGTAACCTTGAAATTTTCAAATCTAAAACTGAAACATTTGAAACCATGTTTGTCGTCTACAACTTAAATACTTGTTTAGATGTTTTAAAAGAATTGTATTTTTATTTTTTTGGTTATGATTTGTTTATAAATAAACTGCAATCCCGGCTAACAGTGCCACCGTATGTCAAAAAAAAAAAAATGTTTATATATATATGTTGTTGAACATAAAAAAAAAAAGTCTCCAATATCATATCAATCTATTTTGAGATCCGTTATGTTATTTAAATTTTAATTTTAATATAGAAATTGAATTATATTTCATTTGCATTCTTATTATTTTTTTCATTAAATCATTTCTAAATAAGAATATAAAATCATGTGATTTGTAGTGATTTTTTTTTCTTTCAAAAATTTAGTACAATTAAAATTTTTAAATAAATATGCATTGAGTATATAGAATTCTTATAGATAGAAGGATCAGCAACAATCAAATTTTTTAAGATTCTAGTATAAATTTTGAACTTTAAAAACATGTGACGGACAATTCATATATGAAGGTATTGAGCATCGATATAATTTATAAAAATTTTCCATGTGACCTCATGATTTGGGGTGCGTATGCATGCACATATTCTTTCTGGGTTTTGTCTAAATTGGTACCTCTAGTCTTTCAATATTTTTTTTATTCCAGCCTTATATCGTAAGACCTCATGAGTCTGTACACCTACATGATATTTTTATATCAGAATAACTCTTTTATTTATGAGATTATATAACTAAAGAAATAAGAAAATGAAAAATAAACATGTGAAAATTAATTTACTTTAATTAATCAGTTTTGCTTAAGCTATTTTTTTCTTAGTTAATTTACTGTTTTTAAATTTTTAATTTTTCTCCTCAAATGATAAAATTTTAAAAATAGAAGACTAATTGGATTGTGAATTATCAAATATTCCACTCAGTATTTTAACAAAAATGTGCCATGTACGGACACGAACTCATGACGGTGCGAGCAGAGAGCCATTACATAACAAAATAAATAGTGGAGAGACTTAATAAATATTAACAAGAGTAGGACGCTCCAAAAAATTGAAGAGTATAGGACCAAATTTTGATCAAATCATTTTTATGTTTTGTAAGAAATAACAAATAAAAATTGAAAGTATATGAATCATTTATCAAAATTAATAATCAGGTAGATCCTCACAACATGCATGGAAGACCAAAAAACCAAGGTTGTTTGTTTATAAAATTTAAAACACATATTGGTATAGTTTCAGACATTTTGTTTTCCAATTGATGGTTGAATATGTATTTCAATAAACCAATTTTTTCTAAGTTAATTGATAGTTACAAAGTTGATAAAATTGTAAGTGACGTTATTGACTGCATTCTACCTCTAACAATAATTTTATTAGTTGTGGAGAGTATTATACATACATACATACATACATACATATATATATATATATATATATATATATATATATATATATATTGAAATGATATACTATTCATCTTAAGTTATAGGTTTTTAAAAACTATATAAGTTCTTTCATTAATAATTTATTCCCCAACTTTTTTTAATGCCAAATTAATACATTGCAACATTTTAAGTTACCTATTAAGATATCTGCAAAATATATCTTTATAATATTTGAATCATCATTCTAATACACAGAAAGGCTAGCAGAGTGCTGGGATAGAATGACCAATTTATTTACTAATATTCACTTTATCACGTTTTAATTCAAATTTGTGCGTGTGTGATGAAATAATGAAGGTTTTATTATTATTTTATTTTATTTTGAAGGAAAGTCAAACAATTGAAAAATGATTTTTCTTTAGTATATAGTATTAGTCAATTACTCACGCTACGCTGCGAGTTTAATTGAACAAAATCATTTTAAAATTTTTTAATTATCATTTCGTATGTAATTAAATTTTTTCAATTGTTTTTTTTAAAATAAATTTTTGCTTAAAAAACATAAATCATTTCTCCGTATGAATTGATTTTAAACAAAATATTAATCAAGAATTATAAAATCTTTCCAAATATCTTTTTCATCGTATCATCTTCAAAAATAAAGTTATAATTAATAAATAGATTTTTATCAAAACTAACAAATGGAAAAAAAATTTAATTAATGATGATAAGATGATTAATTTTTGAAATTATCCACGCAACACAATAGGTAGATAAAACAAAATCATTTCAAAATTTTATAATTTTTTATTTCATTACTATTATTATTTTGTTTTTCATATAATTTCTACGTAAAAAAAGTATGATTTATTTTTCTTTATTTAAGGATTCTTAAATAAAAACTTATAATATATAATTTAAACCTAAAATATATAAAGGAAGGAAGGAAGGAAAAACAAAAAAAAAAAACAAAAGAGGAACCAGATATTTGCAGCACTCCTTAATTTCTATTGCATTTCTATTACACGTAATTGTAACACTTTTACATATAATTGCAGAACTCCTTAATTTATACATAATTGCAGCACTACTTAATTGTAACCAAATATATAAATGGAAGGAAAAAAAAATGAAAAACAAAAGGAGGACATGAGCTGGTTGGCTTAAGCCAACCAGGACAGGTGCCTGGTTAGCACAAACCAATCAGGATAGGCGCCTGGTTGGTTTGTGCAACCAGGCGCTTGAAAAAAAAAATCCTACAATTTTTTATGAATTTGTGATTGTTGAAAGTTCATCGAAAAATTAAGGATCAACTTTCAGATTTTTAGAAATTAAATTTCGACATCATTTTTTTCCTAAATACCTCTAAATGATCGGAATAAAGCTAATAAACATATCTAAAACCTCAAAAATCATTTTAATACACACAAAAACAAAGAAAAAATCAAAATCAAATCGGATTTTTTTTTTTTAGCTTCGATCTACTTCCTCTAATTGTTTATGGCTTGAAACAACCATGGACAAACTCATCTCTCAAAAATAAACAAATCTAGTGGATTTTCGTCGATCAAAACGACCTAAATAAGCTTGATGGGCAATTTTTCTCTCTCATCTCGTCTCTCACTTTCCTCTTTCCTTCTCTCTCATCTAGGAACAAAATGGATGAGCAAATGAAGATGTGAATCGAAAGATTTATTGACAAAGATCAAGAATCAAAGTGTAAAAAAACTAATAAATAGTAAAATGTTAGTATATAAACAATGTTTGAAATAGTAACCTATCGTTTTATCTTAGTTTATTTAATTAATCTGTTTTTGGCACAGATGTAACTTTTTCCTAGACAGTTTAATTGAAAGATAGAATATTCAAAAATGCTATTCTAAACTATTGTTGGATATTTAAAAAAGCACGCACAAATAACATTCAGGAAATAAAAAGGATTATCACGGCTCTGTTTTCTCCAACTCTTTGATTAACAACGGCAATTGAAGCCAATGTGAATTGATCTGCAGTGAAACGCGGCAGCTCAGCCATGTATCCACCTTCACACTGTTTTCTCCAAGTAGATTGGAAATGGAAGCAATCATCAAACAAATGGGAAGGGAAAAAAAGGCGATAGAAAGTGATACAGAACCACTTATATAATCTCCCTAACCAGCTGCAATTTAATTTTTTCGTTGCACGGAAAACCGAGAAAGAAGGAGAGACCACACATATGTTATACGGGTGATCATATATTATCCAACAGTAACACTGGAGTACAGTAGCAAGCAGAAAACCGCAGTACCAAAGGACACCAAAGCTCTTTGGCCATGTTGTTCGGAGTTGCAACTTGAAACTCTAATCGCTCGACCAGGCTTGGTTGCTTTGGGACAAAGACAGTACCAAAGAGGCAAATACTTGTAATTGTAATTCGTATAGTACTTGAATTCAAGGAGGGAAGACACGTTTCGGTTCATTGTCATTGATTCATTCACAGTACCGAGACAGAGAGAGATGTAAAATGGCAAGCCCACGTAACAGAGTAGTCACTGATTGCTGACAAACTAGCTCTCCATTCACGTGCCAGTACTTATGTTCGATGCTGACATAACTAATTAAGCTAATTTCAGACACTTTTGCCCTACTAACACCAAACGTACTTGTAATTACATTTCCCTTCGTACTCGCATTCTCATCTTGTAATTACATTGCCCTTCTTGCTCGCATTCGCTTAAATATACCCTCTGCTCATTATCGTACATCTCACTCTTTTTAATCTCTATTATTAATTCATCTCATACCTCAGATCTCTCTCACCGCAACAAGAAAAGAAAGGTTTTTTTTTCTCTCTGGATGGATGCAAGTTCCTAATCTTTTTGGCAGAACAGTGTAAAACTTGTCGACTTCTTTGTCCTGTTTGTTTGTACCTTTACCAAATTGGCTACCAAATAGAAAGTTAAATTTCTGTCTTAAAAAGAAGCTTTTTCTCTATAAATATGTGGTTATTTTTATGCTTGTTTTGCAACATTGGTGCGCAAGTCGCTTTTCTGATCACTCATCATGATCCATTAACTCTTGGGCCATGGCAAGTCCTCCATTGAAAAGATAAGTCTACCCTCTTTCTCTACCTAGCTCTTCTATTTCTGGCTCCTTTTTCTTTGTTCTCCTTAAACTTAATTTCTTACATATACGCTCAATTCACATGGAGGAGCTCATTATCTCTCCATCTTCATCATCTTCACCGATCTCTTTATCCCAAGAAACCCCGCCAACTCTCCAACAAAGGCTACAATTTATAGTCGAAAGTCAACCAGAATGGTGGTCTTATGCCATATTTTGGCAAACATCAAACGATGATAGTGGCCGAATCTTCCTAGCCTGGGGCGATGGCCATTTTCAAGGCTTCAAAAACACTTCACCAAAACTAAGCACCGTTAACAACAGCCGCGTGCCGATATCAAACTCCGAGAGGAAAAGGGTCATGAAGGGAATCCAATCCCTGATCGGTGAATGCGATCTTGATATGTCTTTGATGGATGGCACTGATGCTACCGACTCTGAGTGGTTTTATGTCATGTCCCTAACTCGATCGTTCCCACTTGAAGATGGCATCCTTGGCAAAGCTTATACCACTGGCTCTTTGATTTGGTTAACTGGTGGCCAAGAACTTCAATACTACAACTGTGAAAGAGTCAAAGAAGCAAAAATGCATGGCATTGAAACCCTGGTTTGCATACCTACGTTCTGTGGGGTTCTTGAATTGGGATCCAATCGTGTGATCAGAGAAAATTGGGGTGTTGTTCAACAAGCCAAGTCTCTTTTTGGGTCAGATCTTAACGCTTGTTTGGCGCCTAAAGGTCCTAATGATAATCCCTGTGAAGAACCAATCCAGTTTCTTGACAGAAACATTTCTTTTGCGGATATAGGCATAATAGCCGGACTTCACCAAGAAGATCATGCAATTGATCATGGAGAGAAGAAAGCACAAGACAGAGCAGAAGCAAAGAAAGATAATTCTAATAAACCAGGCCATTCTTATGTGGACTCGGAGCATTCAGACTCGGACTTTCCTATAGTTGCTGTGAATATAGAAAAAAGAATTCCAAAGAAAAGAGGGAGAAAGCCTGGGCTGGGCAGAAACGCCCCACAGAACCATGTAGAGGCTGAGAGGCAGCGGAGAGAGAAACTGAACCACCGGTTTTACGCGCTGCGAGCGGTGGTCCCAAATGTGTCAAGAATGGACAAAGCATCATTGTTGTCTGATGCTGTATCCTATATAAATGAATTGAAGGCGAAAGCTGATGAATTGGAGTCACAACTACACAGTAAGTCCAAGAGAGTGAAATTGGAAGTTGCTGATAATATGGACAATCAAAGCACTATCACTTCTGTGGACCAAGCAGTCTGCAGGCCTAACGGTAATTCTGGTGGTGCTGGCCTTGCACTTGAAGTTGAGGTCAAGTTTGTGGGTAGTGATGCAATGATTAGGATCCAATCCGAGAATGTGAATTATCCAGGATCTAGGTTAATGAGTGCACTACGTGACCTGGAATTTCAGGTGCACCATGCTAGTATGTCCAGTGTCAACGAGCTTATGCTCCAAGATGTGGTCGTTAGGGTTCCTGATGGACTGAGAACCGAAGAGGCACTGAAATCTGCTCTTCTTGGAAGACTAGAACAGTAAGATCATGATTATTTGTTGTTATTACTCCTATATCATGATCATAAGCGGTTTGTTTTTTTTTTTTTTTTAAATCTTTCTTTCTTTCCCGTTTTCAAATGTCTACCTTCAAACTATCATGTAATTATGGAAATCAATGAAGGCAACAGGTCCTTTTTCAACAGTATTGTAATCTCAGCATAATGTATAAGAGTTTGAACTGAAACTTCACGTTTTATTGCTATCCCCATGCTCGTAGCACCGGATGCTCATGACTTGAAAGGAAATCTAACTTGCTACTGTAGGGGAATGGATGAAACTCTATGAGTCAATAAGGGCCATAATTAATATTTTTGCACGTTTATATATGTGGTCTGATTGCTGCATATGGACATATGGGAATTGGGATTCCCACATGAAGACTAAAGTGCTTTCTTTTGTTTGGTTTGGTTTCCTTTTTTTCCCTGTTGGGCTTAAAGATGAGTTTTTAATTACTTGGTCTAAAATGCCTATTTCTGTTGCTCCTTTGGTGGACCATATAAAACTATTAAATGGGTGTGTCTGGGACCTGGGAATCTAGACCCCACCACACCCATCTGTCCATTTGTACAAATCACGTGCTGTTTTGCGATTTATGACAGCAAAGTGAAAACCAATAGAAACGAAGCAGCCGGTGTGGCTCTATATATGCCATTACTTGTTTGTTCCGTTGTCCGTCTGCGAGAAAAGTAAGTAAAGCAACGGCCCATGGGAAAGCCGGAGGACAACAGAAAGTCAAATGGTACGGACGAAGCTTTTCTTGGAATTTAATAGCCAGGGTACGGACAAAGTTAAGATGTACAGAATAAGGTTTAAGATCAAGAAGCAAAAGTGTTGGCAAATTAAGGTTTATGAGCTAAACTCGTGCAATTTGAACTCATGAGTGTAATAGTATGAACTTTAGAGGGACTATGGACGAGGCAGTCCTGGAGTAATGCAGGCTTCAATGAATTTCCTCTGTTGTTCAGGGAAAAAATTAAAAGAGTGATGCAAGCAAGGATGGATTAATTGGTCCAGGTCTATTCCGGTGATGTTGCCCTTTTGTGGTGGAAAATGACCCATCCACTAACTGAAGGGAAAAAAAAAAATCGCAATCACGAAGAAACTAAAACATAATTCATTTCTCTGTTCACACACTGTTTTTCCTGCGTGTTCTACGCTTCAAATGAGCAGTGCTTTTCCTTTTTTCTTGCCCTCTTCTGGCTTTCTAATTTCGTTTCTGCCATTACCTTCTCGGCCCATGCTTAATTTTTTTACTCTGCTCCTTCTATGTTCACTTTCGTCTTTTTCTTCATTCCGGTTTTTTCAACTCATCTCAGCCTTACATTTTTCAACCCTAAAATCCCAGCCCTTCGTTCAACAAATATAAGAAAATTATTTTTCTCTACCTTCCTAGCCTCCTCATCTTCTCTTTCTCAGTTTCTATGCATATAAGATTTTTTGATGGCGGGGAGGCCTGGCGAACGGTTTGTGGAGTTAAGGGACGGCGTTGCTGGGTTCAGGTGGGTCTGGTGGCTGCTGGGTTCGTGAGAGAAGGCGGCTAGTAGGGGCGTTGGCTCGGCTGGGTTTGTGAGAGAGGTAGGCGAGGGGGGTGTTGGCTCGGCTGGGTTTGTGAGAAAGGGCGGCCGAATCTTCATTCAAACAAATCGACTTGTTTTGCAGGTATTCCAGTTACAACAGTCATCACCACCGTTAAGCACAATTCAATTCCAGTTGTGATAAGAAGCCACATCATCTCTCGAGATTTTACCACCTCATCAAATAAAATTTGTATTTAATCTCAGATAGCTTGCAAATACGATTATGTCAATTACCCAATAAGCTAATTAGGATTCACTATTTTTAATTATCTTATGCAATTAAGCTGGGCATATTTAAAATTAATTAAATATTCAGCATAATTTGAGGTATTCTTTAATACACATTGTCCTTGTTTTTTTCCTTGGGTAATTAATTGCCACGGGAGGATTTTTTTCTTTGAAAGTTGGCAAGTAAAACAAACTTCCTTGAGAAGACCAAATGCGAGAATCAAAGTGCAAACAGTAGATGGGACCAAAAAAAACGTGGCAAATAGATTTTGCAAATGAGATGAATGGTTTATCTGAACGATATGGACTTGGATGATCAATATGTTTCCTTGTTTCTACAAGGTAACATAATGTGGTAGGGCCAACAAGACACTAACTAGTTGGCACGTGGCAGTAAAAATTGAAGTGGAATCACAAACTTCTAATGATCAAGTTTGGGATTTTGACCGGCCAAGTTAGTTAGGCATTATCGGGACCTCGCCCTTAAAACCACCGGTCTCATGGACCAGGGGATGTTGAATACGCAGCCAGAAGTTTCCAAATGCATGTTTATTATGTGTGAATATATATATATATATATATATATATATATATATGGGAGATACTTGATCGAACTTCTTGCTTTTTTTTACGGGCTTCAGACATCCTAAAGTTTTACACGTGAGGAAATAGCCGGAAGGATTCCTTCTACGTAAAATAATCATAATAATAAAATAATAAAAGAAAAAGACAGCAAGGATGAAGAATTAGGAGAATTAAATGGTTGAAAAAAAATTGTCGATATGATCTTATACCGTATTCAAAATCTTTCATCTGTTTATATCATTAAAAAAAATTTAAATATTCAATATGTTATTATGATTAAATTTTTTTAATTATAATTTTTTAACTAAAATATTTTTTATTAAAAAAAACTTAAAATCACATTATATGTATATTTTATTTTTGAAGTTTTTTAATTTTTTTTTATATATTTCAATCAGAAGTATTAAGATCAATATATTTTATTTGGTTAAAAAAATTGATCGAAATGATAAATTAAATTTTTTAGAAATAAATGAAATACGATTAAACATCTAAAAATATACTAAAGATTTTGAATATTATAGAAAAACATATTATTGTATTATTTTTAATGGTTTATGGTTTTTTTTTTTCTTAAAACGAGATGAAATAAAATCTGCCTTTAGCGCTGGTTCCGTTGTTCCTGGTGATGATTTGAGGTCCTTCGTTAAAAGATCGAAGCAAATGCTCAACTCAAGTACGTGTTTAGAGGAGGACCATGAGGAGATTAATTTAACTGCCAACAATGATCCCCATAAATTCAGACAATGATTGACACTTTGTCTGAGTCTCGAAAAGTATCCACGTATAGTTTCAAACAATTAGAGTTTAATGTCTCTGGAGGATTATTTTTCATGCGACACAAAACAGAAGGTTTAATGTTTAACTGCAGTATTTTGTAAAAAACCAGTTAGATACAAAAATTTAAACTACCTACTCCTATATGTTTAATTTTCAATTTAATTAACGAAAATGAAGGTAAGGAATTTCAAATTCGTAACCATTAAGTTAATAAATTTTAATTTTAAAAAACAATAGTAAGATTCTAATTTATAGTTCGTTAAGTCAGTAAAATTATGGTATTATGTTAAAAAAATCAATTCAATAAAAAAATTAAGGTGTTGGATGAGAACAAATACATAATTAATATTATTTTTAAAATATATATTTTTTTAATTTGAAAATGGAAAAAATGTTTTCTATTTTTTCAAGTTTGAGTAAGTGGAATGGCATTTTTTTACTCATACTTTATAAGTTTGACTTGAACCAAAAATGATGCAGAATAAATCAATTCTCTTTTATATAGGCACACGTTGTTATCAATATATAGCATGAAATTAAAACGTTTTTGTCGTTGATATTATTATTTTGTCTTTTCATATTTATTTAGTAACTCAATCTATATATCCTAGCTTAAATTAAAACAATTCGTCCCAAAATCAGATAAAGGACAGCTAACATAAAATGAATTTTATACAATATCTATTGATTGAGTCCATAATTCGTCAATATACATTCTGAATTCTATTGATTGAGTCCCTGTACTTTATACAATATCTATGATATGGTCTTTCCGTCAAGATTGATTCGTTAATTAACAAAATTAGACCAATATATGATTGACACATGGCCTTTTGTAATAAAAATATAAAGTAATTTTGAATTTTTTTTAATTTTGTATAATCTAATCACTGGAAGATTAAAGTTTTAAATAAGACGGGCCGAAACCTATCAACAAGAATAGTGATCCCTGCATTCGGCTTGATGAAAGTATTGTAAGATTGAGGCTTTTGTTACTATATATTGACATGGGCTGAGCCATGGACAGATGCGGTGGCTAGCTGAGCTGGGACATAATAAAACTAACGAGCGTGGAGGCGATCAGTAGGCTTGAGGTATATAAAAGCAAGTCGAGAAGCCCATAAGAGCTGCACACGTTCTCGTACCTTTTTTCTTCCTCAAGTATAAAGCCCAAATTCCTATGAGCTCCGTAAATTCCTTTTCTTCTGAATGGGCACTGTAGAATTGGATATGATTGCTATTTTTTTCCCTACAAATCATGCGGGAGAGGATTTGCATGTTATCACAATTTATGATTTTCGTTTTCTGTTTTTTTTTTGTTTTTACTCAAAATTTAGGAAACATTTACAAAAAAAAATTATTTGTTTTGGATTTATTTGTTCAAAAAGAGAAAAACCAACAGCCACTGTCACAATTTTTTAGAACCATTTTGTTTGTTTATTTTGAAAAATTTTGACAAATGATTGCCTTTTTTTTTATGTTTTTTAGAACAAAAGCCAACAAATTCTATGTTTTTGTTTTCAAATTCCTAAAATAAAAATGATGCCAAATTATGTGTTTTTTACAAATTTGAATGGTTTTCTTTCATTCAAGATGGTAATTAAGGTCTGTCAATTGATCGAATTTGGATCGGATCATAGTAGATCCGGATTATTTAATTAAACAAGTCAAACCAAATTTTATAAATTCGAATCAAGTTTTGAAAATATGAATGCGAGATCCTAACAAATGCGGATCGAGTTTGGAACTCTAATGGATTTATGACTTGTTTTTTATAGAAAATTTATCCTTATTGCATTTAATATATTATTT